GGGCGGGGCATCCCGGGGCCGGGGCGGGGCATCCCGCCGGGCTTGGGGCCTGGCAATTGCAGCTGCACCGTGGGCACCGTCAGCAAACGTTCACACTCCAGGCCAAGCGAAGTGCAGGGAGCGCGGATAGCAGCCGGGTGGGCAATGCAAGTCTCTCTAGGGCAGAGTGTTCGAGATTCGCCCGGCTTCCCATTCTGGAACCCCATAATAGCCGAGGGATCCGGGATGGCATGCACATGCGACCCGGGTCTCGCTCTTGCCTTATCATAAGCAGATAGAAGGTGCTATTTACAAAGTGAGGGAGGTTAGCCATCTTCCAAGCCACTTTCTGCTCCTCGGTTCCCTGGCCATCATCACCAGGGAGACTTCGAAGCACTTAGACTTGGTCAGACTTGGAGCTGCTGTGACCCAAGTCATCAGCCAGCCCTGTCTCCAATCCAGCATGCTGGCCGTTCCCTAGGGGATGATCTGTCCATGGGAGATAAAGTGGTTTATCAAGACTTTCACTTACACACCTAAATTCATCCCAACAGCTATGCCTGTGCTGAGGTCTTATCCAGAAACCTACACAGTCGGTACAAAGGGTTCTCCCTAAGGCAGTAAAGAAATGCCTGGATGGAGGGCAAGATGCCTACCCTCATATCCACACACAGTTCCCCACAGCCTTTCTGCTTTAAGTACTGGGGACTGTATCCAGGGCCTTGAGCGTGGTGGGTAGGCACTCTTCCACTGAGCTATATCCCCAATCCTCTTTTCACTTTTTTATTAAATTGTTTTTTTATGTGTATGAGTGTTCTGTTTACATGTATGTATGTGTATCACATGTGTGACTGGTGCTGATAGATGTCAGAAGAGGGTGTGGGAATCCCTAGAACTGGAGTTACAGACAGCTGTAAGCTGCCATGTTAGTGCTGAGAACAGCACACAGGTCCTCCTCTGCAAGAGCAGCAAGTACTCTTAAAGGCTAAGCTAATCTCTCCAACCCTTCTTTTCACTTTTTATTTTGAGACAAAGTCTCACTAAGTTGCCCAGGCTGGCCTTGAACTTGCCATCAACTTACCTCAGCCTCCCCAGTACCTAGGACTATAGGCCTGTGTCACCAGATGTGGCTCACATAGCCTCTTGACAGTAGTTTGGTTTGGCCCCAAACCCATTAATTAGCTTCTTGCTCTGCTATTGGCCAACATGCTCTTAGAATGTTCTTTCCTGTCCATGGCCCTAGACTTAAGCCTTTGTAGAAGTGGAGCTCAGAGAAGGAGGGGGCTTGAGGCCCACAACCATCCCAGGCAAGGCCAGCCCTAAGAAGCCCTCCCTGAGGTCCTAACAGTTCCAGCCTGGACAGGCAAGCCCCAGGAGCATCCCTGGAGCTACAGGGGAGGAGAAAGATGGCACGTTGTAGAGGAAGATACCCAATGTTCACGTTTGGCCTCCACATGTACCTACACATACATGACCACATACACACATAAAATAAATAAATTTATGAGTTTCACTACTGTCAAAACTCAAGAGTAAATAGAGAAATTAGATTTCAGCCCCTCTGCTTGCTATTGACAACCAAAAGGAGTTGGTTCCCCCAAGACCCTAAACCTAAGAACAGGAAACCAAAGGGGCCTCTCCTCCCACTCGTCAGAGCCTTTGTTCCACTCAAGAAACCCTCAAGAAGCTTATTTCCTCCAGCCATCATTCCTCCCTGTCCCTCTCTGGACACTTCCAGGCCCCTCTCACTGTGATGCAATCCTGTTTCTTTCAGCCCTGCGGAACCCAGCAAGCCTCTCCCTATTCCAGCAGCCTTTCTAGGTGAGGTCAGATAAGACAACTACTGTGCAAAGAAAGACCACTCTAAAGAGGCTAAAGTCAGAAAAAAAAAGTCAGATGTAACTGACAACAGCAAAACCAGTTAAGGAGCCAGCAAGATGGCCCAGTGTTACCCACTTGCTGCCAAACCCAAATGGTGGGTTTGGAAATTGAGTCTTTGCTGGCCTCTAACTTCTGAGCTCCAGTGATCCTGGGGGCTTTGACTTCCTGAGTGGCTGGGACTAGAGTTGTGTACCTATCCCGTTGGGCTATCTGTTCCCTTGATATTTTTACAGGAAGCCTAATTACAAGAATCCCAGATCTCCTGCCATCCTTACATATTTTCATTAATTTTGAATTTTCACCCTCCAGTTAACTCAAAAAGTAGCTCAACTGTAGTTAAAAAGCAAAGTTAATTAGACTCTGAAGCTTCCATCTTTTCTCGAGTCAATTCCCTAAGTGCTAACCTAAAGTCTGTCTTCATCGAGACTCCCAAAGTCTGTGACTCTTGGTGTAGAAGGAGGTGGACAGGTCAGAGGAAAAGGATGCTTGTATTCAAATTGTTCATTCTTTCATATGTCTACCAAAAGCATTAGTGTTTTCAGGAGCTCGACCTGTCTTTGGAGACGTTGGCTAAGTTCTCCAGAGCTCGGTTTCCTGTCTAGGAAGGGGCACCAGCACACAGTGAAGGTTGAGCTTGAGCTCAGACGAAAAGATCAATCAGCACACACGGGCGGTTTCTAGGCTTACTTCTGGGGAGCACTGTTTTGGGAGTCTCAGGTTCCCAACTGGAGCCTGTGGGCCTCAGTTCTTTGTTTCTTCTATAGATGGAGAAACATGCTCTGTTTGTGGACAAGGCCAGTTGTGAATACTTATTAGTAAAGTCAGAATAATCAAATAAATAGGATGTTCTGTGAGTTACATATCAAAGCTCATGAAAGATATCCTGGAGTGTCTGGATCTGATTTTCTAGAATCATCTTTGAAACCTCTAGATGTGCTGAGGAAACTCCTCAGGGCCACGTTAGAAGGGAAGAAGAATAAATCTGGTGGCATGAAACTCAACATAGTCACAGAGCTGTATTTAAAGAGCAAGTGACTTTTGGGAGCCATGTAGTAAAAGCAATAAGCACCCCTGTGTTAAATATTCAAGAGATGCTATGGATCAGGCCTGTGTTAAAAGGCTTGGTCCTCAGCCTGGTGGTATAATCTAAACCCCTCTCTTTCTCCTCTCTCTCTCCCTCCCTCCCTCCCTCTCTCGCACCATACTGGGGTTTGAACCCAGAGCCTTGTGCATGCTAGGCAAGCACTCTACCACTGAGCCATACCTCTAGCCCCTTTAAATATTATTTTGAGAAAAAGTCTTGCTAAGCTGCCCAGACTGACATCAAACTTGTAATCCTCCTGCCTCAGCCCTCCAAGTAGTTGGGATTACAGGCATGCAGCACTGTGCCTGGTTAAACCTTTTCTCTTTATACACTGATTTATCTCAGATATTTGTTATAATGACAAAAAGCAGACTAAGAGCAATATTAAAACTAAGAAGGGGCTGGGGAGATGGCTCAGTAAAGCGCTTGCCATGCAAGCATTAGGACCTGAATCTGGCACGTAAAAGCCCGCACAGAAGCCTAAGTCTGTAATCCTAGCACTGGAGAAGCAGAGATAGCAGCTGTCAGGGCTCAATAGATAGCCAGACTAACCCAACTGATGAGTTCCAGGTTAGACGAGAGACCCTGACTCAAAAACTAAAGTGGGGGACAACTGAGGATGATGCCCATCGTTGACCTTTGGCCTCTACACACAAGCACACGCTCACGCACATGCACCCACACATGCACCCACACACATGAATACCCCCCCCACACACACACACAAAAACTAGGAACAATAGCAACAGCAGCTGATGTTTTCTGGCACATTCTCTATAGGACAGTCATCACACCAGACCTTTGTTATTGTGGAGTTTTCTTGGCAGCAACGTCTGTGACACCCCTCCTACTGGGAGGCAACATCTCTCCTGATCTGGGTGGGTTTGTGACTTGATCAAGAGAGCAGGTGAAAGGGGACATGTTAGATGACGAAAAGTCACACATTCCCTGATTGGCTTCACTTGACTGCTCCAAGGCCACCACGTTGTCATGATGTCCAAGCAGGCCAGAAAGAAGTCATGTGTAGGTACTTGGGATGAGAATCCTACCTGAGTCAAACCTTTAATCATCCCCCATCCCAGTCCTAGACTTGAATGAAGAGGCTTCCAGATGTTTCCTACCACCAGATGTTCAAGTTATTGCCAACTTTTGACGGTCTTCCCAGCTGCCCCCAAACATCACGGAACATGGCCAGCCAGTCTGCTGAATCTCTGGTCAACAGAACCATGAACATTCTGAAATAGGCCCTGATTTTTGCCTCTAGGCTGGGGAGGTTGGTTATATACGGGACACTAAGAACTTCAACTATTTATTTCATGAAACCCTTAAAACAACCCCAAGAGAGTTGTGATTGTCATTTTGATCATGAAGCTGAGGCTGAGAACTAACCCAAAGCTTCCCAGCAAGCTGCAGAGGCCAGCAGAGCCCCCGTTCTAACACCACCTAAGAATTCTCCCTCCCCAGTAATGGTGGCACAGGCCTATGTTACCAGCTACTTGGGAGACTGAGGCAGGAGGATCAAAAGTTCAAGGCCTAACTGGGCTACAGAATGAATTCCAAACCTATCTGGACAACTTAGGGAGACGCCTCAGGGGTTAAGAGCATTGGCTGCTCTTGTCAAGGTTAGGTTCCCAGAACCCACGTGGCGGCTCACAACTAGCTGTATCTCCAGAGTCACAGGCCTGGCCTCCACAGGAATTGTATGCATGGGTACACTTGCTCATATACATAAAATAAAGATAAAGAAATGTTTTTGAAAAAAGTAATAACAGAGCTGGGCATGGCAGCACATGCCTTTAATTCTAGCACTTGGGAGGCAGAGGCAGGTAGAGCTCTGTGAGTTCAAGTTCAGCCTGGTCTATGTAGCAAGTGCCAGGCCAACCAGGGCTACATAGTGAGACGGTGTTTCAAAAAAATTAAGTAAGTAATTAAATGAATAAATAACAGGGCTGTGAATACAGCTCAGTGGCAGAGTGCTTGC